CAAGGGATAAAAATACTGCTGACGTTTCGACAGTATCTCGTGAACCTTCTTCAATGTGAGGCGGTTATTTCTTTGCGGCAGCTGCAAGGTTTCGAGGCGTATGCCAGGCCTTTTGCTGAATTTGTCTTTCATAGTTTCATGCGGATAAGCGAAACGCGATACTCATTCCGTCTGTCCAAAATTCGTATCCTCTTTTACGGATGACGTTGCAACAAAACAGAGGCGAGAACAACAAAGTTTGTGGGGGTTGGGATGCCGGTCTGCCGTACCCTCCATGACTGACGCAACTTGTGGCAACCTCTTTCATCGAGTTCATGGTGTGGCGCTATGTATCACACGACTAGTTGGTTTGCCTCTCTGGCTTGCCTAATTAACCACTTTCTATCGTTGAAAATGCCGGTGTATTCAGACCATCGTAAGAGAGGGTTGTCGCTTCGTCATGGCGCATAAACTGATCTGTCAGTTCCTTTCGAATTGGCAACTGACCTGGTTGGTGCCAGGTACTGTTTCTGATTGGAACGCTATGTTTAAACGGACACCATGCATTTCATTCAGTTTAACGGATAGCTATGGGGTTTATTAAGAGGTGACGTGTCCTGCTTTGCAAAGTAAGACCTGCCGCAATTAGATGCAAATTACGAAGTCCAACGAGCCGAATTACGAAATAAACCAACAGTGGACTGCCGATTCATAGTCTCTGTAAAAAATCGTCCTGCATCAAATCTTTCCTATTCATAGTTCACAGAAAATAAAAATTACGGTTGATATTAAAATCCAAAATCCTTCGCTTTCGCAACGACGTTACGCGCCAAAGTAGTCATGACAGTACAGGAAAGAAATCAGTCACGCTGGAATGTCGATCTTCCTTCACATTTTGACGCTCTTCTTTTCCTGTAGTTGATGGCGTGGCGCTATTTCCATTTCTATACCATCAGCAAGAAGTGTCTTGCTTTTAAGACAGAGTCTACAGCCATATGGCCAGTGTAGCGTGCAGTTTACTGTTGCCTTTCCACAGAGTGGTACTCATATCAATTTCGTAGCATTAAACATCATTAATCTGTGACTCTGTCCTTGGCCCTGATATCCAGATGACGAAGACAACAACAATCAATTTCGAAAGGAAGGGCGAGTGACCCTAACCAGGGTTTGAACTCAAAACCTCTCGTTTCTGAGTTGGACACTACTGACTGAGGATGACAGCATAAATAGACAATCAATATTAGTTTTACGCTAGGTGTTTCCGAGTAGCGTTCTAATTCCGCCGGTAATTATAACATTTCAATTTCAGATACCATATTTACTCAGAGTATGCGCACTACATCCTTGCTTTTACTCGCCTAGGGGCACCATTTAAGCAAGCTATGGCTCCATGGTATTTATGCACATGCAGCGCATTCGACGCGGAACCGCATCCGTGAGTCTGGCTGAAGAGAGGTGCGGTCAAGCACCAACTGAATCTACCATTGCTAGTAAGCAAATATATAGACAAATAAATCCACCATCAGAAATTGAAATGTTATGACTACCGACGGAATTGGAAAGCTGCCATTTGGTAGTTTGGTAGCTACCCTGGAATTTTAGGATTACGTTTTGTCAACATATTTGCCTACGATTCGTGGCAGATTGAGTAGGTGCTCGAAGCCAAACTTAGAGACGGTTGCACGTCGATGCCCTGCAGGTGCCCACATACCAGGTAGCACCGGCGTGTCTAAACGGGCCCCTTCTATGCGACTAGAAGCACGGTGGCGGTGCGTATATGCAGCAAAGTAAATCCGGCGTCGCGAATTGAAAAGCTGCTTTAAAATATTACGGTTTAATCGCCTGAGTCATTCGAATCAAGCAAAGATTTGTCCATCGACACTGGGAGCTCTTCATCCAATTTACGTGCCTGTCATATGTCATTCCAGATTGATACGAAATCTGAACGTGCTCTCATAAATTGAGACCAATGAGTCAAAATTCTTCAGAAAAGCTGCGCACTCTCCACCGAAATCTACAGTATAATTCCTTTATATGAGGTTGCATGGTGCTTCCGTTGTTCGTTACTTTCTGTATTCCATCGCTGTCGACGAACAACTGAACTGAACTGCCCGTTAACGTTGCGTGCTCATCAACGACCTCCAGATGTGCTCAGTTTACGGAAAACTTGTGGCCCTCAACCGACATGGGCTTCTTGACGTCACCTACCTCGAACGGTTCATTGCCCGGATTGGGAACGATGGTCTCGGCAACGCTGTAACGTGCCCACTTAAATGGGCCGCTGCAGTAAAGGTAATATTTTCCGGTTCCGGGTCGCCTGGTGCACACCTGGATGTAAACTCTTCGCGTCGCCCAGTACCTGAACAAGGGACGAAGTTGAGTGAACAAGCGAAGCCACTGGTTAAGGTAACCAATCTTACCGCAGCGTCAGAAAACCTTGGTTGTTTTGGCACGGAATGACGTCGCTGACGAGAAGCGCTGACTCGCCGTTGGTGGCCCTGACATTAGACCTGGCCATGAGGAATTTTCCATCTGCTAACGAGTTTAATAAAATACAACATCCAACAAATCTCTACCGGGTACATCTTGGGATCTTGTCAAAGTTCTGATCATGCTGTCAGGGAAAGGTTTGTAAGCCACCTGCCAGTTGATGCTGTTCACACTTCGATCATTGTGCCACCGGCAATGGCTGTTGAAGTCGGCGCAGTTCAGGTCGGTAGCTTTGCGCGGCGGCGCGGCCTGCCCTGAAACGTGAACCATTCACTAACTCGATCACCGCCAAAGCCGTGCTCGCGGTTCTGTTTTGCCTCTTCGTCGATCCTCCCTCGTGTGTTAAACAGAAAGAGAATAATTACTTGCTGTCACGAACGCCTTGCTCGGCAGTGCCATACCGATCGACGACCGTCGTCTGTTGTCCAGCGAAGCCGTCGCGTCTGCAAAGCCAAAATTTCAGTGATAAATCAGTGAATATGCTTGAAAGTCTTACTCTGCAAGGTCAGCAGAACGAAGCCGGTCATGAAAAGGGTCTTCGCCAGAACCATTTTGCGAAGCAGGCGACGAACGACTAGACGTCTTTCAAAATCAGTCGAGGGCAAGTGTGAAGACGAGAGCGGCATTGAGTGAGAAACCGGTCTAACAGAAATCATGACTTTATCAGGGCATATCAGAGGATGCGAGGCATTTGAGCACACTTCTCTTCAGCCACCAGACGGTCCGACAGAAAAATCAGGCTGTTTTCGCGCTGAACAAAGATGAACGGAAAATCTTCCCGTCGAATCTTCTTTTTGTACGGGCCGACAACTTTTCAATTCGGCAAGTCACTTTCGCTCGCGTCCTTCAGAGCCGAACGTATAAACAAGTCGCTATGTAGGTTACCGGATGGTAATTGCCAGGTTTGGAGGGTATAGCAGTTTCGACGAGCGTTTTTCACGGTAGGCACTCATTGAACAGTTTTCATCTGCTCTGATCCCACCAGATTCGAAGTCTTGTAACAGCTGTTCAAAACTACGCCCCCATAGCACCTAGCCACGGTAGTCGCATGAGTCGTCAGTCAGAAAGGCCACGGCAGCTATTGGATAGCAACGCATGGAAAATCGGCCCATTTCAAAACAAAAGGAAAAGTCTGAAAGAAAAAGAATGTCGAGGCACTGTCAATAGCCGTAAGCTGAAAATGTCTTCTTCAGAATCAGACTCCATCTGGCGATCCCAAGCTTGGACTTGTAGAAAAACGAATTTCCAGAATATTCTGGTGTTCAAAGGCGTGCCTTGAGTTTCTTATGATCATAACCACTGGATCGGATGATTTATTGTTCGAATACGAATGGCAGTTTTCAATACCGCCAGCCAGAACATCCTTTCCCTTCACCGGAAAATGACACATGTATCTTTGTCAAAAGGAGCTATTATGCAAGGCAAAGTTCCGTAGTAGTTTGACACCTTCAGTGTGTTTATGTTACACCTCATCCGATTCTTGTCGGATTAATAAAGAATTTAAACACTGAGTTGCGTGGAGCAATTCAGCTCGCGACCAAAATGAATTGTCACAGTCGATTGGCGAATATGCCGTGATGATATGACGGACACAAGGAACTGTTCTTTTCAATGGTATCAAAAACTACCACTGCTACCAGTCGTCCCCGAATATAAGAGTCGACAACAACAACAAAATCAAGGTCGGCACTACAACCGTTGCGTCATCAGAGAAAGACCTCTGACGATGGTGGCAGCATTGAACTGCTAAGAAATCGACGCCCATGTTCAAGCAAACTGCTTCGTTATATTCCGTAGACTGCTTCTGGGCCACCAATATCCAGGAGACGGTAGAATATCGTTGCGGCTGCTTGCAACTGCAGCGAAAGCATGGAGTGTGGGGACTTCTGTTGTCATCTCCTAGGTGGCCGAACAGAGCAGTTTTGCGCCGCTCGATCGATTATGTCCCCGACAGACAGAATGAGGCTTTGTATATAAATGCCAAAGGATTGTCACTGAAAATTCACACAAGGAAAATTTGGCGAACTAATACTGTCCGTATCCCTGAACATGTGTGAAGCTATTCTTCAGAGAATTGCCAAAAACGCGAAAAGATATGTCCCCATTGACCTTCAAGAACTTTCGGATTTTCCCATCCTCCTTTCTGTGAAGTTTAGCAGCTGTTTTGAGTAAGGTGCATGGTACAAAGACTGTCCATACTTTCATCACAGGTTAATGCAGATTCTACTCAATCCTTCCGTTCGACGTCATACCTTCAGATCAATTTCGTTGGACAGAGCAGAAGATGAGATTGATCTAAAGATAAATTAAGCTAAAACAATGGAGATTTATCAACATCTAAATGTAATTACCCCATTAGCCAACTATTTTAGGGTTCATGACAAGTCTTTACAGTGAAAAAGAACACCATTCAATCTTCGGCTTGACTGCGACCCTTTATCGTGGCCACTGTCCGCTCCTTGAGATGGACTTCCAGAATGAATTTATATCACATTTTCTATTCAAATATAAAGGCTCATCCCTACAAAACCATTTTTACAACATATGAAAGATTCCCAAATGTCTAATCGACCATGGAAAATACAATCAACGAATCTGCATTTGAGCATCCACTGGAACCTAGGCACGCTGCACCATTTTAAATGTTTTCCTGTTCGCTATTAACACTTCAGGAAGTGGTACCGCCATGCGCCTTCGCAAAACACCCCAAACATGGGTTCAAACGTTGCAGTCTGTTAAACAAGCAGCTCCTCAATGTCACGTTTCGTTGTGAGGAACAAAATAATGCTCTGGTCTATAAAACAGCCGGACTTGCAATACACGGCGAAGAAGTCAAATACCGCATAACACACACCAGCACGCTTAAACGTATTATTAATATATGCATAACTCTTCACCATAAGCAACTTTTATAAGGTATTCCACAGCCTCTTGATTCTAGATGCCTGACGAAGACACCTGACCTCACTGGTCCGTTAAATGGATGGTTAGACAGCCAGGTGCAAGGAAGTGCCATACGTTCCTAACTTTTGGTTTAGCGCACGTAAACGCATTTATTAACATAGTTGGGCGTATTAATCTACCGGAATGTATAATGATCGTCATTTGAGAGACCGGTTACATGACGCTGTGTATACCCCTTACCGGTATTCATATATTTTGTTTAATTTAACTTGCATACAGCCAAAACAAAAAGCTGCAAGTTTTGGCGGTGTTTTATAAACAGTATACTTTAGAAATTTCAACTTCAGACCATATGAAACTGATCAAAAATCTAAAAATGAGAACCACGGTTATTCAGGCAATCTGGCACTTCTCATTTACGGCTTTTGACAGTCCGACTGCCTATCCACTTAACTTTTTATAATGTACCCATCTGTCAAAATTATGCGTTTAAGTTTTGCGGTCTTGAAACAAGCTGTGCACAAAGAACAGTGAACAACGGGTCTCAGCCAGGTAGCAACGAACAACGAGCGTTCGAAAAACAAACGACAGGCAGAAAATTTTTATCGACTGGTTAACAAGAGGTCACTTTACAACGAATGAAAAACAGATAAACAAACAATCCGGAGTCTCTGCATTTAACGTACCACTATTCACACGTCTGAAAAATAACACGCTGAACGTTACTCGACGACATGCCTGTGAATAGGCCGTGCATCTGGCAAAGGCACCGGTTTGGCAC